GCTAACGACGACCAGGGCTACGACATCAGCGACTACCGCAAGATTGACCCCCCCTACGGCACCATCGAGGACGTCGACGCCCTCAAGGACGCCCTCCACGCGCGCGGCATGAAGCTCGTCCTCGACCTCGTCGTCAACCACACGAGCGACCAGCACGAGTGGTTCAAGCAGTCGCGCTCCTCTAAGGACAGCCCCTACCGCGACTGGTACATCTGGCGCCCCGCCCGCTACGACGCCGACGGCACCCGCCACCCGCCCAACAACTGGGACGCCCACTTCCAGGGCAGCGCCTGGGAGTGGGACGAGCACACGCAGGAGTACTACCTGCACCTCTTCTGCACCGAGCAGCCCGACCTCAACTGGGAGAACCCGGCCGTGCGCGACGCCGTCCACGCCATCATGCGCTTCTGGCTCGACCGCGGCGCCGACGGCTTCCGCCTCGACGTCATCAACTTCATCAGCAAGGACCAGGCCTTCCCCGACTCGGACCGCACCGTCCTCCGCGGCGCCGAGCACTACGCCGCCGGGCCCCGCCTGCACGAGTACCTCGCCGAGCTCGGCGCCATCCTCCGCGAGTACGACGCCTTTAGCGTCGGCGAGATGCCCTGCGTCACCGACACGAACGAGGTCATCAAGAGCGTCAGGGCCGACCGCGGCGAGCTCAGCATGATCTTCCACTTTGAGTTGTAAGTCCAGGGGGGGCACGCGCTGTGTGGTGCGACGGAGAAAAGAGAAAAGAAGACCTCGACTGACCATCGCAGTGTCGACCTCGACCACGGCGACCAGGGCAAGTTCTCGCCGCGCGCGTGGCCGCTCGCTGACTTCCGCGCCGTCGCCGACAAGTGGCAGCGCTTCATGTACGCCAACGACGGGTGGAACGCCCTCTACCTCGAGAACCACGACCAGCCGCGCGCCGTCAGCCGCTTCGCCAGCGACGCGCCCGCCCACCGCGCCGACGCCGCCAAGATGATCGCCATGGTGCAGGCGCTGCAGGGCGGCACGCCCTTTGTCTACCAGGGGCAGGAGCTCGGCATGCACAATATCCCCAAGGAGTGGGGGATGGAAGAGTACAAGGACGTCGACTGCCTGAACCACTGGAAGTGCGCATCTCTCCCCTCTCCTGACTCCGTGCCCCCACCCCACCCCAATGCTGACGGACGTGCTCCAGCCTCTACAAGGACTCGCCCGACGAGAAGCGCAAGGCCGCCTTCCGGGTTGAGTACCAGAAGAAGTCGCGCGACAACGCCCGCACCCCGATGCAGTGGACCGCCGGCCCCCACGCCGGCTTCACGACCCCCGACGCGACGCCCTGGATGCGCGTGCACCCCAACCACACCGTCATCAACGCCGACGCCCAGGTCCACGACCCGGCCTCCGTCTTTGCCTGCTGGCGCACGGTGCTCGACACCCGCAAGACACACAAGGACGTCTTTGTGTACGGCGACTTTGCGCTCGTCGACGACAACCACGACAAGATTTCGCCTACGCGCGGACCGCCGACGACGGCGCGACGGCCGTCGTCGCGGCCAACTTCTCCGCCGACGAGGTCGTCTGGGAGGGCTTCAAGGGCAGGACCGTCGCCGCGGTGCTCGTCACGAACAAGGGGCGGACCGTCGACGCGTTGGCCGGCGATGCCGTCACGCTGGCGCCGTATGAGGGTGTTGCTGTCCTGCTGGGCTGAGGGGCCTGGGTGCTGCTGCTGCGGCGTCGGGAGCGCAAGGGAAGGGAAGAGCGAGGCTAGACTTATGACTGCATGAAAATGGGTAACAAGGGATGTATAGACGGAGGGTTCATTCCCAAGACGAGTTTCCTTCAACGCTGGGACGCATGGCTGTCGCGTGACTCTGACCACGACGAGAAGTGCACATAGAAACATCAGTTCGTTCGCTGCCGGATCACATCATGCCACCCGAGCCGCTCGTCGTTATTTCAGCCATTGCTGGCTCTCGCATCATGTACTACCGACTAGACATGGTATGGTACTGTCTCCTCTCGTGGTCCCGTCCTAGTATACAGCCGAGGAAGGCCCCTCCTCCCCTCCTCACGTAAAGACATTGTCATCTCACGTAAAGACATTGTCATCGCTGTCGTCGTCTGCTTCGCCCATGTCGACCACGACATCCCCAATCTCCTCGTGCAGCAGGTCGCCGATCAGTACGCTCTCCTCGAGCACGGCCCGCGCCTCGTCGGCCCCGACGGCCAGGTCCTCCATGATGAGCCGCGACGCGAGCTCGGGCACGAGCACGGTGGACACGAAGACGGCGCTGCCGCGCGCGGCGACGAGCTCGTCCTCGACGGCGCGGCGACGCAGCGCCGACGCGAACCGGCTGATGAGGTGCTCCGACATGACGCGCAGGCCACGCGGGCCGTAGTAGCCCGGCGCCAGGCTGCGCTCCGTCGTGCGCAGCGTGCGCTCGCGGCCGTCGGAGACCTTGTCGGCGAGGACCGACCTGTAGTGCGAGGCGTCGCCGTGGACGATGCGCTGGAGAGCCCCGTCGTGCGCGGCGAACCGCAACGGCAGCGCCTCCCAGTCGATGTCTGGGTAGCCCTTTTCGAGCCAGGTGGCCCTGGCCGTCTTGGCGTTGTGGAGGCGGCAGAACTTGATCTGCTGGTTGATGCTGAGCGGCCGGCCTTTGGAGAAGGCGCGCAGCAGTTCCTCGTCGACGGCCAAATCACACATGGGGCACTTGGCCGAGGTTGCGTTGGTGGGCCTGACATGGCTGTCCTCCTCCTGATCTTCTTCGTCGTTGTCGTCATCGTCATCGCTCGCCAGGCTCAGGGTGCCCGGTGACGTGGCTTCATAGGGACCTTCGTGCGAGTCGTCGAGGCCCATGCCGGGGAGGCTCGCCGGTAACCTGAACGTGCTTCCGGCGACGAAGACCTTGGGTTCTGGGGGGGCTTCTGCCTTTTTCGCCTTTTTTCGTCGACCTGATAGCCGAATAGCAGGCTTTGCCTGCGGGGGCACATAGGGTACGGACAAGTCGTTCTGGCGAGGGGCAGGAACCGACTTGCCCGGGAGTAGTTCGGGCTTCTTATATGTTGGGCGTTTCGGAAACGCGTCCAGAGGTAGTGGCACACACTTTTTGTAGCCGGTTTGACTTACCGGCTGGTGATCTGGACTTGTGGGTAGCGAGTCGGGTTCTTTGAATCTTGAGCTCCTCCTTTTCGGGATCCTCTCGGAGTCTTCGCCTGATGGGCTCATGGGTAGAGCATCAGGGGCTCTATACG